CCCTGAATGCAAGAGAACGCATCAACTGTCCACGCGTGCGATTGTTCACATTGCCCCCTAGTTCGCGAATAGAAGTTTCTGAGCATGAGGAACAGTAGTTTCTGAATACGACGAACATAGTTTCTGAATACGACGAAAATAGTTTCTGAATACGACGAAAATAGTTTCTGAATACGACGAAAATAGTTTCTGAATACAACGAAATAGTTTCTGAATACGACGAAATAGTTTCTGAATACGACGAAATAGTTTCTGAATACGACGAAAAGAGTTTCTGAATACGACGAAATAGTTTCTGAATACAAGAGTTTCTGAATACAACGAAATAGTTTTCGAATACAACGAAATAGTTTCTGAAGACTAGTTTCTGAATACAGTGCAGTTTCTGAATCCGACTTTGTTCCTTCACCCCCCGCCTGGCACATCCCTTCAGGTCATCCCACATCTCAGGTGCACTCCAAACAATCTGTCTCAATCTCATTCCAAACGCACATCTCATAGATAAATAAGACTGGGCACATCTCATTCCAAAAACGCTCCTGCCCTCTTTCGGACCGGGTGAACCGCACCCTTCGCTTCAGCGCTTCGGTTGCGGGTCCGCGCCCCACCCTGTTCGCCGCGCCACCGGTCCGGCTCATAGCTCCGATAAGCCTGCCGGTAGGCCTTCGCGAGGCGCGTGGCCGACATCCCGGCGTTCTGCACCGCGTTGGCATCGGTGAGCTCCGTCTTCCCGGTCATGCCACAGCAGCCCTGGTCACCTGGGAGGGGGGCGGAACGGAGTGAGATTGGCTGGCTCTCTAAGAATCCTCAAATCCTCCAATGAGATCTTTTTGGTGGACAACGGCCTCTTGGATGATTCTAAAAATTCTCCACAAACTTGCGGGGATCTCCATGGTTGGATGGAGTGGAAGGGCATGGAATTTCCTGCCTAGCTTCCATGAAAAGATGGGGACATCCCAAAAGAGAATAGCCAAAATGATGCATCTTAAGCCAACCAAGATCACAGAAGAGGCCCTCCCCATTGGCGGCCAGAATGACCTTCTCCCCCGTGGCAGTGGAATAGACCTTCAGCAGAAGCATTGGTGTGTCGAGCCCCACTTGGCGAATCTGTAGGCCTGTAGGCTGCCTAGAAAAATCATGAAGTCAGTGAACACCCTGAACTTTGGGGCATCCCAAAAGAAGAAGTGAGACACGCATCTCTGATACTTCTTTCCTTTTTCCTGGTGTTCTTGACCCTGAACAGAAGAACCATCCGCAGAATCCACGCAACACTCGAGGCCGACCTTGCTCGGAATGTCCCAGAGATGATTCTTGATGTGGGGCCGCAAGGCACACTTGCCAGCTAAGGCAAGGCCAGTGGTGTCCTTCCCCAGCAGTGTGGTGGTGAGGACTGGTGAGGGCTCATACGTCAATGCGAAGTCTGAGCCGCCCACCATTCCACCTGCACTCCGGCCCATGTAGAGCAGAGTGCCTTCCTGGACACGCTTCTGAATCAGTTCTGCAAGCTGAGGGGCGAACTTCTTTAGCACAAAGCCCAACATGTCAGGATTGCCTCCATTCGCAAAAATAATGCTGGAGCCATAGAGTATCTTCTCAAACTTCTTGATGCAAGGATTTGTATCCTTCACCTTCATGACCACCTGAGGATGGATCTTCTTAGACTGGAGCTCGAAAAGTGCTTTGGCCTGCTCTTTGCTGGCGCACAAGCCGAAGATTGAGACCTGCCGAGATGCTACGTGCTTGTCGCGTCTTTCAGCAGGGTTTCTTGCTGCATGGCTGCTTGGAACCAATTGAGACAGGCTGTTGCACCACTTGGCAGGTCCCTTGCCCTTCACAAGCAACCCAAATGGAAAAAGGATCCTGCGAATCTCCAGCACTGACGAACCCCCAATTCGATGAGATGGAAAGGGGTCCCCGGCTTTTTGACCCAAGGTGATGAGACAAATTCTCACTCGCACACTGACAGGAACCAATCCCAAAAATTACCGCTCCAGACTCGCCTTTGTAAAAGCTCCATCATCCAAGCCAATGCCGCCCAGACCGTCTGCCCCAGAATTGTCATAGGAAAAGCTCCCATCCAAGTGCTGGAAGCCATCCGTCCAAGCTTCTACATCAGAGGGAGCAAAATTCAAGCCAGAAGAGGACTTGACCTCAAGGGCAAAAACTGTGAAGCCATTTCTGCTTGTGCCACCTGCACAAACGTCCTTTGATGTCCTTTGTATGCAACTGGATCGTTAAGGGAGCTCCTCAATTCTGCCTTATTTCCTCAATTTGTTTTAAAGGTGGCAAGACATCCACAGGATCAAGAACATCGTCTTGCAGAAGTTGCATTTGCAGCTTCAGTACCTTACAAAGCCCAAACTAAAGCCTAAACACTTGCAAACCATTGGAAAAAAGGTTGTCTTAAATCTTGTGTGATATCAACCTCACAAACACCATGCCTTCCACTGGTCCCTCAAGGAAGTTGTTCACAAAACCGTCCAAAATATGATATCAGCAAACCGACCGCAGGGGTCAATGTGAACAGATTGGTTACAACTCCCCCAAATGCTGGTTGCTGAATGGTTTCGAAGTTGCAGTGAACGGCCACACCAAACAGGGCTGCACTAAGGGTTAAACTCGCATTCCATCTCATTGGAAGGGAAACAGCTGAATGGTCCACACTCCAAAACGCTCCCTACACCCGCTGCTCGCGCAGCCCCCACCTTCTCGTAGTTCATGGCTCTGGGATTGTTGTGATTTTCACTCGCTTTGTCCCAGAAGTCAGCCTTCAGAATACCGGCATCCTCCAGCAGCAAGATCTTCAACCCAGCCTAGGGTGGACCAGGGTGGAGATGATTATTTCGCTCGCAGACTCAAGAGTGGAGCGGGGCAGACTTGCTTTATTCAAACATACAACAAAACGTGTCCAAACTCAAAGCGGGATTGACCCTGTCTATTTGGATCGCGCCACAAAATGTTGAAATAAATTGAAATGGATCAAGCGCCAAAACGTCCTGGTGCCGAACCTCTTTGTCTGTCCCGAAACCGGAAACGGCACGTCTTGCTTGTCCGAGGCGCCAAAGGTTGGGCGTCCAGCGCGCGGTCGGTGGGCTTCGGCAGTTTGCCCACCAAGGTTTTCCAAGTCTTCAGTGCCTGGCATCGAAACTTGCCGGCATAAACGAGCCAGTCTTGGTTTGAGACCCAAGCTGGATTGAGAGAACTCAACACCGACTTCAAGTTGGAAAACAAAGTTCCTCTACCCAAAGAGTGTTCTCCACTTCCAACGATTTTTCAGGGGAGGCTCACTAGGTTGGAGGCCCTTGCTATTAGGTTTGGAAGGTCATCGCTAGTAGGTTGGAGGCGGACCAACGGTCCCACGGCTCCCCGACCTCGGCGATGCCGCAATTCCGCCCCCACGGCGGTTCCGCGATTCCGGGTGGCTCGGATAGGGGTGGCGTGAAAAGCCCAACTGGAGCTCTGGCCGAGCGCGGATCGCGGATCGCAGATGGCCGGGCCGGGCCACGAACGCTGAGTCCAGCATTAAAATGAAAGGACTCAAAAGGTATGATCGGATGATATCTGATGGTTTACCTGGTAGGTGATCAGTTGGATCATTCAGAACACCCTTCATTTTGGGCCACCCTAGCAGGGTCGTGGAGCAACTTAGGTGAGCTGAAGTCGAGTCCGTTCCGCTGCAAAAGCGCCACGCGACACGCCTCGGGCGTCTCCAGAGCGGTGCTGGAGATAAAGACCAAGGACTTCTTCGCCTCTTCAGGCAGTGTACCTTCAGAAGTCTCGGAAAAAAGAACAAGATGCTGGTAGGCAGGAACAAGGTGAGCAAGAGAAAGTGCTCGGACCTGATGGGTCTAGAATCAATCCCTTGGATGAAACTATCTCATGGCTGACATCAGGAGCAAGGCAAAACATCTGAATTGTTGGCCACAAGTCTCAGGAGTCTCGCCAAGCACAAGCATCTTAAATGAAGCGAACGGGCCAGCATGACCTTATCGCCTTTGTTCGATGCTCATTCCCCCAATGCTTAGCCAAAGGCACAATCCACAGGCTCTGGAGTCACACAACTTGCGGAGCTCACGCTCGACAAACCCAGGAATGCCTTGCCTGCGCCTGTCGGCGTGAAGCTTCTAAACATCTATGAAACGAAGGCGTCCATTCAGGATCATAACATCATGTATCATCATGTTATCTTCCCTCCAGTGGAAGTGGACCCGAACAGCTTGCGCTCGGGCCTGCGGATTGCTGACCTGACGTGAATCCGATGGCCGCGCACGCGGCCAAGCTCATCACCTTGGGGCGTTGGGGGCTCAGCCTGGCTGAGCTGAACTCAGTTCCCAAGGATGTAAGCAAGCTGGAGGACAGGGTCTCCAAAGTTGGTAAAAATCTGGAATCCCCCTTGTAGAATTGGCTCGGATGCCTGAGAAGCCAAACAAAAGCATCTAGCTGCCAAAGAGGGTAGCTTGAAAGGGGCTGCATGACAGTGACAACCCGCCTTTTGTGACCCTTGCCTTCCCCGATGAAATGGGAACCCTTGCCCTTTGTTTCACTCATCTTCTGATTCATCCCAATCAATCGCCATCCGTCCACCCCGTGCCCCTGGTACCAGTGAAGTCACCATCGCTGCCACACCTGCAACTTTCGCGCCTGGCATGCGGGACATGACCCGCTTCTCGCTCAGCCCTAGAAGCTCTTCGGCTTCATGCT